AATAAATGCCAGGCCACTTTCTTGCGCGAAACACCTCAAGTCGTTCAAAAGTGGAAGCTTGAGACAAGAAAAGCAGACCGCACCAAATTGTGCATGTACTCTGATAATGCATCATCACGCTGTCTTCCCAAGCATAAGACCGTAGCTAAATCTTATTTGCAAAAGGCACCTCCGCAGTCTCCGGTAATGGTGCTCTAAACCCTTTTATTCTTCCTTTGGGTGAAGAATAAGGTGGCAACTCAAGAAAGCCTAGGATTGGCCAACGTGAAAAATAAGCAAGAAAAAGCCACTGATGGCGCCCCAGAGGAGTACTATACAGTGCTCGTCTACAGGTGGTTGGGACAGTGTAACAAAATCATGCCTGTAAGCAAGGACTGCAAAGGAAGGCCTAGAAACCAAGGTGAATATAATTGAAGCAGTGCATTAGACGGAATCAAGGAAAGAAAGAGCGCATTGACCGGCAAAACCTCGTTGAGACATGCAGTACGTGTAGGCCGTGTGCAGTACAAGACATCAAAGACATCGCCAGCTCACCACTTTACCAGTGACCTGCTTCAGAGGCTCATAGAGGCCATGTCGTCTTTTATGTACTTCATTACTCCCTCTGCTCTATTGTATTGCTCCATGTAAAAAAATTTAGTGAAATTATCGCTGTTGAAATCTAGTAGTGCAGACAGAGCGTCAGCGCCCCACTCTCGCTAGAAAACGCCCACTCCACCTCCATATCCTGCTCATCGTCCAGCTGCATCACCACGCTGTCGTCCACCTTCACCATCACCCCCTTTTTGGTCCTACGCACCACCTCAACCACCGGCCCCGTCGGCATCTCCAGCCGCTGCGCCAGCTTGTCCGCCAGATCGCTGACCGCCAGCTGCTCAAGGTATATTGCCCGGTGAATGCTCTCGCCCTGAAATCGCGCATAGATCGCCAGCACCGACCTGCGCTTTCGCCCCACTGGCACATATGTCAGATCCACACCCACTGGCACATATGTCAGATCCACACCCACCAGCCCCATGCTCCTTCTCTGCCCCTCCTTGCCCCCACCCTGGTTGTTTGCTGCCCCTTGCAATGACGTCTGCAATGATGGCAAAAATTGACATTTGCTGCTAGGCAACATGAGCAGATCAACGTCGTCCTCTGACAACCGTTTGCGCATAAACATACCTGCTGACAACGAGCCTGCCAGTGAACCAAGATTGCCAAGGTGTATCCCTGACATACCAATGAGAGTCATGCATATTTCTGAAAATATCCAACAAACTAAAGACTATCTCAATAATACCTAATATACCACAGTCAACAGGGTTCTAAATTTTTTTGGGTGAGCCATTATTGTACTACTTAGGTGCATGTTCTTTACTCATGAAAAATGTGTGCCTAACAGTATTAAAATGGCTCACCCAAAAAAAGCCAGAACCTGAGGGGACTTTGGGTGAGGCAAAGGTTCTTTTATAATATATATGTTTTTGTAGCCACTGTAGTTTGCACCCTACTGGTGCCACCTGTATTCACTATACCTGACTATATTAATAAATAATACGAGATATAAGAATAAGTGGGTGGATCAAAACTACTATCAAAAGGGGTTGCTGGTCGTGGGCACTGCCTTTATAGGCAGTGGCAGTGGGTGTGTCGGGTACATGCCATTCCCACGACGCCACAGACCATGGCCGTATTTGGTCATCACTACACCATTGTGGCTGTGGTGTAGCGAGGGCCCAAAATACAACAATGTCAATATCCTGGAGAGTTGCCGCATTGAACCGCAATAGACACAGGCCCTCTGAGCCGGTAACGTGATACTTGATGCCTACTAGATCTCGGATAGCACTGATATGAATTGCCGTCAGTACCAGCCAGTAGTAAGAATCAAACTCTACATGACTGATGAGCAGAAAGAGCTGTGCTACCAAACCGCCAAAGTAATGTTTAACAAATGCGGAACATTCTTTGAGCTCGTATGTAACGTCCGCTCTGATCTTGCTGACCCTGGGCGCCATACGTCTGATTTGCTCGACAAAGGCACAGGTATTGGCTTGCGCTGCTAGAGTATTTAACTGGTCAAACAAATCCTGGAAATGACAGCTCGGCGTAAATGACAAGAACTGGAGCGAGAAAGTGCAAGCCATCGGAAATACAGAGCCTGGATCAAAGGTACACTGCAGCATCTCCAGTATCTTGCCCTCAATAACCTCCCAAATATCCAGCACAATTCGAATAGCCTTGGCCAGATTATACTTGGTGATTTCTGGCTCTCTGAGACTGGGTGGCCACAAGCAACAGGTGATGGCGGCAGGGTCATCCACATAGTCTAGGTGTATCTTGTATTCCTGGCAATAGCGGGAGTAAACGATAGTACGAAAGCTGTGGCAAACTCCCAGAAGCGGCACCAGCAGCAGCAAGCGCTCGTCGTAGTCATTATACTTGGCGTCAATAAGCAGTGGCGGGCTGACGCCTACAACACAGTCGACAATGGCCTCAGCAATTTTGCTTGGAAGAATCTGAAAGACCAACCGCAAGCGCATTATTGGTAGAGTGGAAGCACAGGAAACATAAAACAAATGAGATTGACAAGGCCCACCACTACCAATGCTATTTATGTTTTCCGGCATCCACGGATACAGTGAGCACTCTTAGCAAACACATGCAGTTGGATAATCAGTACACATGCAAAGAAGAATCTGAAACTGAGCGCCAAACAGATGGTATAATTGGGGATATCGCCCTGGTACTTGCCGATGATAAAAATCTGCTCACACTGCAGCGACAATTACACGGCAATAGAAATTTGTTAGCCATGGAAGCTGTACGCTATTGCGAAATATTTGGGTGTATTTTGAAAAGATTCAAGGAATAAAAGGTGACTATAGTTGAATGGCGTCTATGGCTTCTTGGGGAGCTTCCAGTTGCCAACGTGGTCGACTTGGCGCGGGAGCTTCCAATTTCCAACGTGGTCGACCTGACGCGGAAGTTTCCAATTGCCGACATGATCAACTTGGGGAGCGGGCGCAGGCGCAGGTGCGGGGGAGGCGGCAGCAGTGGCAGCAAGAGCGAGAGAAACGAGAGTATACGTGGCCTTCATTATAAAAAAGAGCAGGTTAAAAGATTAGGTGATGATTAGAGCAAGAATAAAAGTGCTGTGTTTTGTTGGTAGAAGTGGGTGATGAGTAAATTTTGAAGACATGCCAGCGGATGCCAATTCCTTTTATAGAGTGCTTTGGATGTGCTTCTGGGCTGGTTTACAATTTACAATGATCACTTGAAACGTTTATCTAGGAAAACACCCGTACTAGTGCTTGTCTATTGAGGACAAGCCTATTCTGTTTTGTAGCGCCAGGCGGCCTTTAGAAAACCATGCGTGACAATAAATGCGACAACATTGACCCACTTGCTTTAGCAATCGGTTGTCTATTGAAGATGTTCTACCAAGCGCTTGTCGTTTGCTTCAAGCAGGTATACCAAGCCACTAAGCAAGGCAGCCACTAGGTAGTGAAAAAGAGTGTTGTGCAATTGGACGTGCTTTCTTTGGGGGAGGCAAGAAATTGGGTGATCACAGATGCAAGCGACTTTACAATGGCTTGTAATCATTGAAGCAACATAGCTGTGCTTGTGGACAATACAAATTTATGCTCCTTAGAAAAGGGCTACTCTGGTACTTATATACTAATTGGTGCCAACTATGCGCAAGTGCACAATTGCTGTCACCCTTTCTCAAGCATCGTGGATTACCACCACTGCAACATAATCAACAGTAAATTGCCACACTGCGCCAAGGCGCTTACTAGCTAGCGCAACAAGGCCAGGATGCGCAAGGGAGAGCATTAAGAAAGCAACTTGACAACTAGGAACTTGGCCATGTCACTCACAGCGAGAGCAAAGGCAAAAAAAGCGGCGGCCCCAGCATTCCTAAAATTGACAATCAGCCGTATAAGACAAGCAGTAAATCTACGGCAGAAAGAAGAAAAGACCGAAAATAGCTCAGCGGTAGAGCGGGAGACTGTAGTTTGTTCAGTACACTTGATGTGGTTATCTCTAGGTCCCTGGTTCAAATCCGGGTTTTCGGAAATTTTTTTTTATTTTTTGCCGCCCAATGATTTTTAATTTTTCAGACGGCTGCAAAAAAACTTCATCTTGCCAGCCATTGGACTCAGAGCAGGCAAAAAGTTGTTTCCACAACGGGGAATTGAACCCCGGCCATCACGGTGAGAGCGTGAGATCCTAGCCACTGGACCATTGCGGACTGACTGATTTGAGCTAACCACTCGATATCACTTGCATTTATAACTACTATTATATACCGCATGCTTGGTTTTTTGCTCTGCTTGGCGCGCCGGCCTTTTTTTCTCAAACACTGCCTTGTTTTTCATCGTGTATCGAGCAAGAGTGAGTTCGGTAGAGTTAAAGTAATCCGTCATGAGTTAGCGGCTGTGCTTTTATTGGGATAAATGGAAAAACGCTCGTTACATATTGTTACTGGCAATTCGGGTGTGCTTGCTTGGATGATGCTGTTTTGAACAGGCGCACCTCATCTGCACGACGGTTGACTAGGCCTTGCAGCACCTTTCCGCCGGCCATACGCCACTTGGGCAGCTCTTGAGCAGCAACGGTGTTGGGCGCATCGCCGCTGTTGAGACGCTTGACCAGCGTTGAAGACTTGGCATTGCCACAGCCGACGTTAAACACCCAAGAAGCGAGTGCTGCCCACTGGTTGTCGTTGAGCTTGACGCTGTTGTTAAGATAGTCAGCGAGGCAGGATGTGTACTTGGGAATATCGTCGTTGAGCAGGAGCTGCGCAGTTGCCTTGGTCAGCGGGAACTTGTACTTGACCTCGGCGCAGTTTTTCTTCTGGCACAGGTGGCCGTATCCAACCGTGGGCAGGCCAATTGGGTCGGGTGAGGGAACAGCAACAAAGCCCTCCCACTTTGAGATCAGGTTGAGCCCGGCTTG